AACTACGGGAACCAGTGTGTAGTCATGTCGACAATCTTGAATTCCACATTCCCATGAACAAAGCATTTTCAAATATTTAAATATGACCATATTTTATAGATTAAGTTATCATCAGCAGAAACAAAATGGGTTTTGAACTGACTTTGCTACATTTAAATTTTATTTATATTGCTACCAAAGAGTTGAAGTTGAAGAAAACAACAAGGAGAAAGAAGTTATACATTGTTTTAAATATCAAAAATATTAAGATATAATTATAATCCATTATAGTCCACTCTGTAGTACTTGTAGCACTGTCCTCCCGTTGTTCATCAATTTACTCGAGCAGGCTCCAGTAGCGTCTCCATTGTGAGACTTGTTGTTACTGTTTTTGGCATATTGAATACGCCACGAGGAGCTTCCCAGGCTCTGCCGTGCAGGCGGGATACTCTCAGAGCTTTCCGGGCTCTCTGAGAGGGACGGAGGAATTGAACCCGGGTCGGCTGCATGCAAGGCAAATGCTCTACCTGCTGTGCTATTGCTCCAGTCCCCGTTCATTAACTATATGTAAACTGTTTTTTTTTTCTTTTGGACTACTCCAATAGTGCAGTTCACTAGGGTTATGCCCTGCAGCACTAGGAAGACTGCTGCAGTTGAATTGGGGTGCCATTTACATGCACTAGGCCTTTGAGCTATCTTCCTTGTTCTAAATATTTAAAGTGTAAATTTAAAAGTTATCTATCTCAAAATCAATAAATATAAGAACTAGAAGATATAGACATCTTTTGATCTTTTTCTCTTTTTTTTTAGGTTTCTTAAACATCTGGTCACTGTGTAATTCACATATCACAAATTATATAACTATCACTACAGTTCAGTATTAGAATATTTATATCACTCCAGTTGGAATCCTTTGCAAACTCTATTCCCATCCCATCTTTGAGCAACTGCTCCTTTACTTGTTCTGTCTAAAGATCAGCCCTTTTTGATTCATCTTTCCTGTGCTAAATTTTTTTTACGTTAAATAATTTAATTGTACATATGTATGATATGTTCAATCAAGAGTTCAATCAAGAGTTCAATATGGATCTAAATATCTAGGTATTGAACGTACAATTTTATTTCTTTTTTTTCTTGAGAGTTGTGGCAATTCTATGTGTTTATATCTTGCTTTCACTTTGTTAACTATAAGAAATTGTGCAGAACTACAGTCTAAGATCAGGTCAAAGAATTAGTGGAGAATGTTAGAAAATGAAACAGAACACAGTGCTTAATCCAAGAAAACTATCCCAGTAATTGTTATCTTATTGGTTTACTTCATTTTTAAAGTTTTGTTAGTATTTTGCTACTTTTAGTGAACTCTGGTCAAGAACATTAGGACATAACAAGCAGTATAGATCTAGAAATATTTGAAAAATAACATTTACTAAGATGCTGACCAGTAAGACTGGTTTCCAGCAATTTCTACCTTTGACCTACTCTCACTGGTATCCTCTCTCTGCCACCTGCCATATGTTATGCCCCTCTTCATAACTCATTATCACTTTCTTTGGCTTCTCCTTGCAGGAGTCACACACTCATGCTCTCCAAATCCCTTTCAATACTTAGAAGTCCCTGTCAGTGTCATGGAAAATGATGTTTTGGCTGCTGTCCCAAAGCACATGTTGATGTAGCATGAGTGAAGCTTAATGGTCATCATGCATTATTCAACTTTTCTCACAGTCTCTGAGATAGGCAATTTCACTAGACTCTTACTTGCTAACTCTAAATTGTGGTGAACTTTTATGTTTAGATGAAGGAAAGCAGAATATATTGGAAATAGTTTGGGTCAAGTAGAATTGAGCATGAACCCAGTTACACCAAGATATAAATAAACTTTTCTTGGTAGTTGTATTTGTGTCTCTGAACAAAGAACATTAATTTGGCATGCTGATTGCCAATAGGGGCATTTTTAGTAGCATTAGCTATTGCTGTTGGTGATTAAATATTTTTAAAAACATAATAAAATCTTCCGACTTTTAATAACAGTTCATGCTGGGACTAAATGAAATAAGGAATGTGAACATGACCAGCACTTCTCTATTTTAGTGAGGTTTTTTTGTTTTGTTTTGTTTTTGTTTTTATCATTTCTTTGACATTACCATAGAGACTTCATGTTTTTGTCTGTATATATTCTAATTTACAGAACTAATAAATAGCATATTAAACAGAAAAGTATGTGAATATTTTCACTTAAGATGCTGGCTAGACTGAAGTAAAACATCTGTATATAGGTATGACGGTGTTGTAGAGAAGAAAACAAGGTATAGAAATGAACATAGCCTCAAGAACTAATTGACAACAGGAGCCATGGAAAATCCAAGTTGACATCATCCTACAAATGATTTTAATAATACAGTAGACTCCATATATAGCAGTACCCCAGAAGTACTGCACTGTGCGGGGCTGCCCACCCCAACTGAGGAAACCCAGAGTGCTCAGCCCGACAACTGGGGTATTGGGTGCTTTCTGAGAAACATTTCATCGCATAAAATTTGAGCATTGTTTCCTTTCTATGTTAAGGAGAAGTAGGACTCTCAATGCTTTCGAGGGAAGGGCCTACCAAGATGTCATTTTAAATCTTAATTTTTCTGTCATTCTTTCCAGAATAAAATTTTGCTTTATTATTTCTTTAATGGATGAGATTACATGCTGAGAAAAGTTAAGTGATTTCATTGCAAGCATACTTTTCAGTCATATTAAAATCATTTATAAAATTATATATATATTTTTTCTGCTTTTTTTGCCTTTTGGGTCACACCCAGTGATGCTCAGGGGTTACTCCTGGCTCTGTACTGAGGAATTACTCCTGGCGGTGTTCGGGGGACCATATGGGATGCCAGGGATTAAACCCGGGTAGGCCACATGCAAGGCAAAGGCCCTACCCGCTGTACTATCACTCCAGCCCCTAAAATTATATGTTTTATATATATAAAATACATATATAATTTATAGTATACATTAAATTATATATAAATTTTTTTAAATGTAGGAGTGGGCTGGAGTGAAAGCACAGCGGGTAGGGCGTTTGCCTTGCAAGCGGCCAACATGGCCAACCCAAGTTCGATTCGTCCACCCCTCTTGGAGAGCCCGGCAATCTACCGAGAGTATCTCGCCCCACGGCAAAGCCTAGCAAGCTACCCGTGATGTATTCGATATGCCAAACACAGTAACAATAAATCTTAGAATGGAGACATTACTGGGCCTGCTCGAGCAAATCGATGAAGAACGGGAGGACAGTGACAGTGACAGTAGACAGTAGACTGATAATAGTAAAAGTAAAGTAAAGGCCCTCGCGTTGATCGTCGATTTGCTCGAGCAGGCCCAGCAACGTCTCCATTGGAGACTTTGTTGTTACTGTGTCTGGCATATCGAATACTCTCGGTAGCTTGCCGGGCTCTCCTAGAGGGGCAGAGGAATCGAACTCGGGGCGGCCATCTTGGCCGCTTGTAAGGCGAACGCCCTACCACTGTGCTATCACTCCAGACTGATAATATCACAATTTAATCTTTTATTTTCTTCTTATATTTATTGAATCACTGTGGGAAAAGTTACTAAGTTTCAGGTTTAAGTCTCAGTCATACAATGATCAAACACCTTTCCCTTTACCAGTACTCATTTTTCACCACCAAGAACTCCAATATACCCCCTTCCCACCCCTCCCAATGCCTGTGAGGCAGACGATTTCCACTTAACTCTTCTCTACATTGATTACATTCATTATTTCGACAAAAGATGCACCATTATTGTTTAGAATTTTCACACAACAATCAGAATTGCTGAAAAGGCATTGTGAAATACTTTGTTTTCTATAGCTGGTTTTGAGAATCATAAAATGATTTTGGATTTCTGCAAAGAGCCAGATAATTATGAGATTGGTTCTATACATCTGGTGTTATGGCTGTGCCAGAAAGCCATTCATGGGGGGCAACTCGTGACCTTGGTAGGGCGTGAAGGACGAGCCGGTACTGCCCCCCTTCCCATGAGACTGCTGTTGCCCTGTCACCTCCAGCTCATACCTGGCTTTCCAATAAGCTCTGAGGCAGTGGCCAACTTGTATGCAGTCCAGATGCATTTCTGCCAAAAGCCGCTGGGTTTTGAGATTTGTTTCTGAGTCTCTGGGATCATGGCTGTTAATCAGCTTGATCAGGAGCCAGAGAGGCCGTTTGTAGGTGGCGACTTGGGGTCTCGCTGGGATGGGAGGAAAAGGCCAGTTCCACCCCCATCTGGTGAGGCCCCGTGTGTCTCATCACTGCAGGCCCAAACCTGACTGTCCAGTGGCCTCTGGAGTATGGCGGTCACTGGGCTGCCAAGGGGAACAGGCTAAGGCCTATTCCCACCTGGAGTAACCCAGCCCCAGTAACCTACTGCAGGAACAGGATGCATTTCTGCCAAAAAAGCCTTTGGGTTCTGAGATTCGTTTCTGAGTCTCTGGGATCATGGCTGTTAAGCAGTTTGATCAGGAACCAGAGAGGCCATGCCTCCAATTAGATAGCTGAGCCAGAGGTGGTTTGTGGGTGTGTTTTCCACATACCTAACTTTTGGCCATTTACTTTCTTGGTAAACTTTGCCCCAAGTTTTTGGGGTCTGGCCAAAGCAGCAATTTTGGGGTATCTAAAAGTCTGATGGTGCCATCAGGCTGCTGATGCACTCACCTCACAGGTACAGATTGACCTGCTGGTGGCACCATACCCCCTTAATCTTTTTTTTAATCCCTTGAATGACTAAGAAAAACATCTTGTAAAAATAAAAACTGATTTAAGGGCATAATTCACCTCCATAATTTGGGCAATATATACTACCCATGCAGCAGTAGTATATAAAAAATAGGATCTATTTCCCTCACTCCAATTGGGAATCCAGTTCCTTGGGATTCACCTGAATGAGATTGGATGGTAGATGTGATTCATGATTGGCTAGGGTATCAGTAAAGAGTGCCCTCCCTTTGGGCTTCTGATCATTTCCTTTTGTCTTTCTATAAGGTCCAGTTGAAAAGTGAAGAATCTAAGACCTTTGCAATGAAGATTCTCAAGAAACGCCACATTGTGGATACAAGACAGCAGGAGCACATTCGCTCGGAGAAGCAGATCATGCAAGGAGCTCACTCTGATTTCATAGTGAGGTAAAGGCTGTACTACCTCGTGAGCTAAAGTCTAACTTCAGCCCCAAAGCAACCTCAAAACCCTCCGCACTCCTCCACAAAGCAATCTCTTTCCTAACTCACTTTTAAGAAAACTTGTTTAAAAATTATTGTCAAAAATATTTTTTTTGTTTCATTATACAATTTTCAAGTTTTCCCTATTTCTAAAAAGATTTTAAAAAAAAATAAAAGAATGCATTATCCCCAAAGCATGTATTGGCGGGGGGGAGGGTTATATTGAGTAATTTATTTTTAATTTTTAAAAATGAAGTGAGGGCTGGTGTGATAGTACAGTGAGTAGGACATTTGCTTTGCACACAGCTGACAGTTCAATCACCAGCATCCCATATGGTCCCCAGCACTGCTATGAATAATTCCTGAGTGCAGAGCCAGGAATAACCTAAGCATTACTGGGTATGGTCCCCCCAATTTTTTAAAAAAATTAAAATAAAAATAAAGTGACTATTCCAACTGAGCATTTTGAGCACTAATAAGATAATGTAAGGTCATATGTAGCACTGTCCTCCCATTGTTCATCAATTTGCTCAAGCAGGCACCAGTAACATCTCCACTTTGAGACTTGTTGTTACTGTTTTGGCATATCGAACATGCCACAGGGAGCTTGCCAGGCCTGCTATGTGGGCATATGTGTGTACATATATATATAAAAATAGAAGATACGTATGTCTTGAAAATAGAAGATATGTATGTGCACATATATGTGTATATATACACATATATATGTATATACACAAACACACACATATATATTTTGGGGTCTGGCCAAAATTATATATATATATATATATATATATATGTATATACTGACTGGCAAATAAGCCAGACCAGAAAAAAATACATATATACACAGAAGAGTTTGCCAGTCATATTTGTTAAAAATAGAATAAAAAGTGACTTAGATTAAAATTAAAAAATCCCATGCAAATCTAAATTTGTATTGTTTAATCATTTTAAATCTTCTTACTCTGTATGTTTCACTAAATATTGCTTGACTCGATGCTCAAACCATCAGACAAATTGGAATTAGAGGAATTCTAAGAAATCTCCATGTCCCATAATAATTTGGATTAATCCATTTCGAAGACTAACTGTTTATAATATGTAATTCTTAATTGCTACTTAATTCTTGCTACTTAATAATGAGACATTTTACTGCTTTAGTAGCAAATTGAATGACTAAGTAAAAATTCAAACTTTGTATATTAGAAATAAATTTGAGGGAACATAAATTATTTACATACTTTTAAAAGGCAATGTTTGTAACTTTCTTTTTTGTACTTCACAGACTATACAGAACGTTTAAGGACAGCAAATACTTGTATATGTTGATGGAAGCTTGTCTAGGTGGAGAACTCTGGACCATTCTCAGGGATAGGTAGGAAATTTCCATCCTGTCTCTAAAAACATAACTGACTACTGATACTAATGGTATCTAAGAGAATCACTTAAAATTTTATATATACATATGTATACATATATAAGATCATATATATATAGTTTACAATGCTTGATATATTTCTAAATCTAAAGTAAATATATTGCCCAATACACTGTATGTATATGATTTACTGCAAATGTGACAGTCATTTGACACTAATGATAAGACTTAAACCATAGTAAAAACTGTAACCTAGTATATCTATACACACAAACTTTCAATATCAAATCAGAATATTATATATCTAAATGCAATTCATTGTTCAAACATGAAAACAATCATGATTATTGTTTTTTGGGGGGAGTACACCTGGTGGTACTCAGAACATATTCCTGGCAGAGCTTGGGAAACCATATATTGCTGGGGATTGAACCCAGGTTGGCCATGTGCAAGGCAGGTGCCTACATGCTGTACTATCTCTCTAGCCCCAACATTACGAGTTTCTAGAATTGTAACCTGGGTAAACTATGGGTTTAATAAATGAATTCTCCTCATTATTTATATAGGCAGTCTGCCTTTACTGACACACTTATTTGTAATCAAGTATGTTTCTTCCCCAACTTCAAATTGCTCTTTGGTTTCAAAATAACAGTTTTAAGCAGTTCCTTATAGATAATAATTAGCCTTAGGAAAAAGTATTCACCTATACGATGTTTTTGTAAACATTTTCTAAACAAACAAAGTATTAAGTCCCCCCTTTATTTGACCTTTCAGGGCAAGTAAATGTGAAGCAGTTAGTGCTTTATCTGTGTTTTAAATTATGCAAAATTCTGATCTCTTATTATTTGGCCAGAAAAACTATATTTTAAAAATTATTATTCTATACAATATCCCCAGATAGCATTGTCAGCCCTAAATGTCATCTGAAAAATATAAACCACAATTCTTTTTCTACTAAAAGATCTTAGTGACATATAAAAGTCATTTTTGTTTGAGCATTTTGCTTTAAACATCTCTCATACTCTCTGAAACATATTTATTGACAACACTGTTGTTCTCAAAGACCCCTGTTCATTTTTAACAAGGTGTTACTTTACAGATATCTCAGAACAACTGTCCTTTATAAGCTACTGACTTTTATTGTGGTACGTACATTTTTTGTACACAATTCCCTTCTATACCTTTTGTCAACATTTCCTTCCTTATTTATGACCAGAGAACACAGTTTTCCCATATTTTTCTCCTTTTTATTAATTTTTTAATTTAAGATAAATAAGCACATAGAAAAATACATCATGGTAGAATTATTATGCATATTATAATAGAAGTCTGGGTTAATATCTGTACCAATCTATTGTGTCATAGCTTATTGTTACATTAGTGTTAATTAATTTTTAATTACAGCTGTATATCCTGGGATTGTGACTGGGACTAAATTATAGACAAAGGAGGTGTGGTTCAACATCTTATAACTTTCAGGTTTATGCAAATTTAGCGTTCTAATTTGTGATTTAACAAATTATCTGAAATCTCTTCCCTTATTATAAATAGAATTGAAAAGTATTTACAGATTAAACAAGAAAAGCAATATTTAAGCTACATAGGGAAAGGAATATCCCCATAGTTATTGAAGCTTCTATTAACTTCATTCACCAAGTAAAAATTATAAGGAGAAAAATATGCAAAAACATCCATATTCACATATTTTTTAAAAGTTATTATTCTATACCTCTGCCTATTCACCTTGATCTTACATTTTATTGGGTCAAAAATTCTAACCAGTGCTTCTGAGTAATATATATTTTTACTTTTCAGGGTTGATATTAAATAGCAGCTTCTTTGGAGTGCTGATTCATTTGGAATAATTAACAAAGCTCCTTTTCCTACCTACGCTGCCTTCAGATGTTTTTTCTTTGCACCCCTCTTAGCTCTGAATTTATAGTAAACATCTGTGAACCCTCCTGTTCCCTACGCTTAATATTCCATGCGCTTAATATTCCAATGCGCTTAATATTCCATGAGCATACACTGGTGAAACACTGACATTCCGGCCCCTTCCTCCCAACATCCATGAGATTTAAAACTTCAGCATTTATAGCAGTGAAGCTATTATAGAAAAAAATAGCCTCAGAGCCAGTTGTTCTCTGTCAACTTTTTTTTTAATGTATGTGTATGAGTGTGACAAGTCGATTAAACATTTTAATTCGAGCATACCACAAATGGCAGTTAGAGCCCTCTGTCTTTCAAACTGCTGAGATCTTCTGCCATCTGCTAAAATGAAACAATTTCCTATTCCAAAGGAGGGCAGAAGAGCCTATCCCTTATTTTAACTCAAACGACCCATTGCCAAGGAATAAATTACTATTTCAAAGAGCATTATAGGGCATGATTTATTTCTTTAAGCAATGTTATATTTATAAAACAAGCACTTATTTCTGTTGTAGATCAAATTTATATTGTCATTTCTAATTGTAAGAGTAATTTTTCATTTTGAGTCACCTTATGGCTATGCTGTAACTGTTTATCCTGCTGACAGTTCAAAAGCACAAAGAGAATTCTTGTGGTAGGATTGCATCATTAGGTAGCAACCCACTTCCAAAGTAGATCTTTGAAGAGAGTAAACTCATTCTCTTTTATTTATGATGAACAATATCTATATTATTTAAAAAGTCTGAAAAAAGAGTTATCCAGGAATAAAGGTGACTAAACCCATAAATTTCATTAAAAACAAACCCTTGGTCAACAAGCTCCCTAGTAGAATAGATTTCAGTCTTTCTTACCACTCTAACTCCACCTTTTTAGATTACAGGGTGTGTTGGGAACAGGTCACCAGTTATAGGGAACATGGTGTATATAGGTGAATGCTTTAAGGAAGTTAGATGTAACTTTGCGTTCATAAACATTAGTTAATTACTTCATTTTCAAATGCATTGGAAAACTCTGCAGTGACAACTGTATTATATTTGGCTTGCAAAACACTGATGTTATTTTGGGCTGGAATATAAAAGGAAAAGATTATTTTAAAAATCAAAGAAACTAATTTTTTATAAACTTGTCATTCATTTTCTCTATCAGAGGTTCATTTGAAGATTCTACAACCAGATTTTACACCGCATGTGTGGTAGAAGCTTTTGCCTATCTGCATTCCAAAGGAATCATTTACAGGGACCTCAAACCAGAAAATCTCATCCTAGACCACCGAGGTTATGCTAAATTGGTCAGTGAACTTTACACAAAATTTCTGCCCTGCATTTTTAAGATATTTGTTGATAAAGCTATGTTTATACACTTAACATTAAAATTGGTTTTGCTTTCTAAACATTGTAAACTTTAAAAGGCAGATTTTACTGTTACTATTGAAATAATATGTTCATCTCTTCTTTCAAAAATGGAAAGTTATGAGAAATAATATTGGTAAGATATGAGCTAGTAATATCCCAGTAAACATTTAAACGGGCTTATATTTGCTAGAAAGATCTCATAGAGCTGGAAGAGCTTAATGGACACCCTTTTCTAGCCATTTTTATGCCATTGAAAGCGAACAAGTATTCGTAGTATGGGAAATTATTGACTAAATTTCTTAATATTTAAGAATAATGCAATGGGGAAAAATAAATTTTACAGGCCATGGTATCCAGCTAATCTTGTTAGACTTCTTGACCAGGATTTATATCACTACTATTAGTTGTATAAAAGTTGATCCAGAGCTTTATTTTAAATTGCACACTTTTTGTGTATTTAGAGCTGCCAAGTCTGATTTTTTTCTGTAATTTTTATTTAGAAAATGGAGTCAGTCACAATTATTTCTATTCTTAATCATTTAAAAATGTATCTACATTTGAGAAATGTAGAAATTAGTCATCTCTTAAAACAATTATGAAAATCGAAAGATGCATTTTAATTCTCTCTTGTTGTATAGATCAGGGGAAGTTATCAGTCCCCAAACTTTGTTCCTGATTTGCATCAATAATGAAGTTATTTTTCAAATTAATACTATATGACTTGTCAAAAAGTGCATCAGAAATCTATATTCTGGAAAATATTTTCAGTAAGCCTTACTGGATCTAAATGGAGAATTCGCTTACTCTTCTTCATCAGTTTATGGCTTTATTGAAGAACATGGAAAATATTTAAGAAAGTTTTGCTTTTATTTAAATCTTATAGGAGCTTTTTCTTTTGAAATATAGTAACTATTTAGAAGATAGGCATACCTTACTTCTGCTTTTAATTGTTTACATCCGTTAAAAGTAGCTTATTGCTTCTAAACTTAAAGTATCTTGTTTTTCTCTTTGTAAGGTGGATTTTGGGTTTGCAAAGAAAATAGGATTTGGAAAGAAAACATGGACTTTTTGTGGGACTCCAGAGTATGTAGCCCCAGAGATCATCCTGAACAAAGGTCATGATATTTCAGCTGACTATTGGTCTTTGGGAATTCTAATGTATGAACTTCTGACTGGCAGGTATGGATATTGATAAGAGAAATGTCGAGAAAAATAGACCAGCATACTAATCCTTTGTCACACTGAGTAGTTTGTTTTTAAAGTACATTCCAACATATCTTTCTAGCTCAATTCAATTAGTTTTACAAGGAACCAGGAATTCATAAATCTGAGTTTAATGTGGGTCCACTGAGGTAAAATAATATCAACTTTGGGGTCTCTCATTTGTCAGTACATATGTAAATGTACCTGATCTTTTGTGCAGTCTTTGATCCTACTCATTTAGCCAACAATGAAGCAAAGAAGAGGACAGTTAAAAATATATAAGGCCTTTAAATTCATTACTTCTTTATATGCATTATAGTTATCACGAGCTTAAAGTGGCTATGTGCTCCAAAAAGAAAAAATAAAAATGTCGTCCTAAATGAAGAATAAAGATAAATAGGGTCATTGTGACCTAGATGTCTAGAAGGCTGAGTTTGTTCAGAGAGGCATTTGAAGAAGAATAAGGTATCAGCTAGACCATAGAAGCACAGTATTTTGATGTACAGAGTCACGAAAAGAGTATAGTGGGTAGAGAGTAACAGCTTAATTCAAGAAACTGTTGTGGGCTTTGATGTGGAGAAAATTGAGTTAAAAAAAAGACAAGGGAAGGTCAGTAAGAGTCATCTCTTGAGGATCATTATTGCAGTAATTGAGTGTTTGGAGTCCATCCAGGGAGCAAATCATAAATATTTTCTGACAAAGCAGTAACATGTTTTGTAGTTTATAAGGAAAAACAAGCTGACAATAATGTATAGGACAAATTGAAGAGAAGTCAGGTGGTTAATCTGAAGATCCCATCGCAGTAATAGATATGTAGGAAACTGAGAATTTAGAATAGGGTAAGGGGAACAGAGCAGGGAGCAAAGGATGAGGTTGGATGTGAAATAGTTATTTAAAGGAATTTATAGCAAAGGTGAAAATGAGAGTAAGGTGGGATGGTAAGCCTCGGTTTCTTCTGAAGATTCAGTGATTAAGTGAAACAATAAGAAGGGTGTGTAGCAAACAGGAAGCTACTTAATACATCCTAATAACAAGTACCACTACAATTGCCAGGAATTTTTATAATTCATTTTTTTCTATTTTCTTCTATGTTGACATCTAATAAATTATGAGAACTAAGCTAATTTTGTTCAATAGTGTTCTTTTTTAATAAAAGTTAAAATTGGCAACTGTCACTGTCACTGTCCTCCCACTGTTCATCGATTTGCTCGAGTAGGCCCAGTAACATTGTGAGACTTGTTACTGTGTTTGGCATATTGAATACATCATGGGTAGGTAGCTTGCCAGGCTTTGCCATGCAGGCAAGATACTCTCACTAGCTTGCTGGGCTCTCGGTGAGGGGCGGAAGAATTGAACTCAGGTCAGCCGTGTTGGCCGCGTGCAAGGTAAATGCCCTACCTGCTAAAAACTATAAATTCTTAATAGTAGAACCCTATTTCTTTAGAATAGGAATTTCACAGATCACCGTATGTACTTGAAAGTAAATAATTGAGCCTGATGATGTTAAAGAGGACCTTTTCCTCACATTATCAATTGGAAGAACAGTTTGCCATTTTCTATAAATGCACAATCCTAGGAAATTTCCTAAAAAGTAGGTGTGCAGTGACTAATGAAAACTTTGATCTCCAGGCAGTGTTGAAAGGGATGAGTTCAGTAGGATACACAATTTGAAATTGATTTATAGGTTGTTTGGAGAAAATGATGGAAGAAAATACATGTTTTAATCTCTTTTACAATGTTCATGTTGTTGTGATTTTAAATATAAAGGAAAGTTGGAATTTTTTTCATGACCAAGATCAAGAATCTTCTCTTGGCTATTTTTAGAAATACTTTCATGTTTACAGTTACACTTTTGTTTTCTTTCTATGGTGGGGCAGGGGATGCCACTTATAAGGCAAGTGCATTTACCATTGTATTATTTCTCCAGCCCATTGAAGGGGCATACTGCTGTATGCTATGGGCATACTGCTGGCTCTGTGCTCAGGAATCACTCCAAGTGGTGCTCAGGGAACCATATCCGGTGATGAGGATAGGTAAATGCCCTGCCCACTGTACTTTCTCTTGGGCTCTATACGTTTTTAAACTTTATAATGATTCTGTTAATCACCAGTTAACCTTGAGAGCTAAGATATAAACACACATCCCATTCATAAATGTAAAATAATAGAATGTGCATATAACAAAGAATGTATTTTTGAGGAAGCATCGTACTCTGAATCTAGACCTAATAAATGAAACATTTGTCAGAATGCCTTCCAAGACTTGCAAGAACGTTTTCAGCAAAATGAACAGTATTCTGAGATCAAGATGTAGTTGATGCTTTACAGAAGTAGTGAGAAATGTGGGGAAAAGTGTGTCCTATGAGTGAGGGTGAGGATGGCGTGACATGTTCCTTTAGTCAAATCTATTTAAAATTTCTTCACAAGTGTGACCAATTGATTTTCATAACAAGGTGTAAGTTATATAAAATTCATAAATGAAAGACTGCATTTCTTTTAAAAATATATTGCAGTATTGCACAAGTGTCAATTAGCCTGCCAAGTATCGTTAGTGTGAAATACAAGTAAACCAGGGAAATTGCAATACAAATGCTATGTATGCTGGGTAACAAATTAGTGATGAATCACTGTACAAAGACAGTTCATGTGCTGTTTATAAATGTGTACCTGATGAGTCCTGATACAGTAACTAGTGGTCACAGAACCTAGACATAGGAGAGCATCTAAAGTCCAGAATTCCCAAATATAAGTCATAAAGTTAGCTAGCTATACCTGAATTAAATATGAGAAAGGGTCAGAAACTGGAAGAGACTCTGGTATGACCAAGAAGAGCAAACCTGTAGGCACCCTCACTAAGAGAGTAGCAGACCATTTTTGACTTTCATAAGTCATTTAAACTGGGAATAGATTCCATACTCTTACCGTTAATCAAGGTTCATTTCCTTTTATTGAGGGGGTGCTCCCAAATAGTGCTCAGAGGTCCTGAGACCATATCTTGAGATACTTGACCAACCAAACCAGAAGGCTCAAGACTCAGGCAGGAGGTGCTCACTGCCTCTAGAGCCAGACCTGACAGTGTCCTGAAGATCATTATGGCACTGAAGATCAAAATCAAATCCCTGTACATGAAGGCACATCCCTGACTACTGATCAGGCTTCTAGTTTCCTTTCATTAGCACTATTAACAGAAACCCAAACGAGAACTGATGTCATTCATGGAGTTATAACTGTTTGCTTTTATATTTAGAAAACAGCATTGTATCTCTTTTCTTGTCTTCCTCTCAGCCCACCTTTCTCAGGCCCAGATCCTATGAAAACCTATAACATTATATTACGAGGAATTGACATGATAGAATTTCCAAAGAAGATAGCAAAAAATGCTGCTAATTTAATTAAAAAACTATGCAGGTAAGCATTTTAGTCACCTAAATTTTGAAAATATGGCAATGTGAGAAAGTACGTTTCCTTATGAATCACTATTTATTTTTAGGGACAATCCATCAGAAAGATTAGGCAATTTGAAAAATGGAGTGAAAGACATTCAAAAGCACAAGTAAGTATCCTTTTCCTATAACTTTGGAGACAGAAAAATCTGACAAGCTTTTCCTTGTGTTTTTTTTTGTTGTTGTTGCTGTTAACGGTTGTATAATTGATACAATGAGCCTTGTCAACCTTTCAAGGAGAGAAGACTAAGCCTTTTATTTAAGTCCTTTTTCTGGTTGTATCTCTGAGATTTCTTTGGAGGCATCTAATCCTGTGATACTCTAAACAGTAGATTCATAATTTCTGCAAAGCCACCCCTACTGAGAGTTCTCCTCTCTCGAACAAAGAGGAAAGGTGTATTTCTATTTCAGTGATTCTTTTAGCCACTAGAATAGTACACAAAAGTCTTACATATTTTATGCCTCATTTCTTAAAGTTAAAACATATTTTTCTAACCATTTTCTATTTCTGTGATATAATGATCAGAGGAGTGGCAAAAGAGTACAATCTTTTTTTTCAAATAACAGAATTTTAAATTTAAGATTTTTCCTTCTGTTGATTGTATGTTCTAAAGCTAAATAATCCCCAATGGAATTATTATTTTGTCTTTCGTTTGTTTCTATTGTAATATGAAATTTGTGTTACTACCTAAGGAACTCCTATGCTATTATATATTAATAGTTCGATATATACTACCGATCATCTGTTCCTCCACCAGTATACATTTTCCACCATCAATGTCCCCAGTATTCCTACCCCACCCCACCCAACACTCCCCCTGCCTCTATGGCAGACAATTTCCCTCTTTCTTTCTAATTATGGGTATTATGGTTTTTACTACAGACAATGAGAGGTTATCAGATTTGGGCCCCCTTACCTACTTTCAGCACACATCTCCCATCCCGAGTGATCCCTTCAGCCATCATTGACTTAGTGATCCCTTCTTTCTCCCAGCTGCCTTCTCCTTCTTGCTAAATTAATCTGGTGTAATCTTAATTTGGTGGAAACTTTCAAAATCATAAAGGCAAACAATAACCAAATGCCCTTTTGTATGAATTGGTTCTCATTTTACAGAAAAGCTATGTGCAGAATAACTTCATTCAATAAAAAAAGGTGAAAAAAGGAGAAAAATGGATTGTGTACAGACCAGTAGAGTGTCAAGAGGTTAATTGACACTGTCAATGGAGTCAATGCAAAGATGGAAAGATAATCTTCTATTATGTCCTGATTCTACCTCATTAAAATAAGATAGTCTGTAAAGATAGTCTGTAAAGCATCTTATGGACTTTATAATATTATACCATTCATTAAATTATAATGATAGTCTGGGAATAAGTTCATATTAATATTATGACAACTTTGGGGAATATAACAAATTACTTCTATTTTTCAGAATTTTGACAGTTGTATTTTTAAATATGAATTTTAAAATATGAATTCTACAAAATAAGCTAATTGAAAAAATGCATATAATGAGAAGGTAAAGTACTTTTAAATACTTAAATACTTACATTTATTCCTTTCTTAGATGGTTTGAAGGCTTTAACTGGGAAGGCTTAAGAAAAGGCACCTTGACACCACCTATCATACCAAGTGTAAGTAGACTTTCTAGCTTCACATGTGAAGACATTTGTTAAAGATTTTAACCTAATGATCATATTAAATATGCAATGGTGTACTGCATTAAAATAACATCATAAAATCTAACATAAGTTACAAACTGGTTATATACATTGATTTCACTGATGCCTTTTTAAAAATTGTATTCATTTATTTTGTTTTTAAAAAGTTTCTTTTCCTTACAGTAAGCATTAAACCTTGACATGAATTCATAATGGATCTCCATAACCAAAGTCCCCCCATACATACTCAGTCATGCATAATCTTAATTCCAAGAACAAAAATACATTAACAACCTTGAAATAGGAATTTTCATAATTAGAAAAATCATATTTTAAATTTCTGTACATATATCTTCTCTCCACATGACAGTTTTATTTATTTACTTTTTCAGCCGGGGGTGGGTGGTTGAGGCACCCAAGTTATGCTTCGGGAGCCCCTCCTGGTGATGCTCAGCCAGTTTGACTGGAGGCTCAATGTGAAGTCCTAAGCCTGTGTAGCAGCTCAGATGCAGAGATATCAGGGATTACTAAGACCACCCAGCTGTGCTCAGGGAGACCACTTGACACTGGGAATCAAACTAGGATTGGCCACATGTATACTATCTCTCTGGTCTCCACTGGGAGTTTCTTCAAAAGAGTCTACATGCGTCTACCTGCAGTGATTTAGGACAGTGTTCTGTTATTTTCTACTTATGGTTCCAGTTTGCTCACTACCCAGCTCTGTCCTTAAAACACCAGCATATATGGGTCATGTCAAGACAATCTTGCGCCTTCTTATTTCTAGCTGGCATTAGTCTGGCAATCAGTATTAGAATCTATAAATTCCTTGCCAATATTGTCTTATCTATGTCCCCCACAACAAATTCTTCCTCCGTTGGCCCCACACTTTGCTGGAGCACTCCCAGACACAGGTGTTATGAATCTTTTTACTCTAAAAGAAAGTCTTTTCTTTAAAAACATAAGTTTTTGTTGAATGGCATGCATTAAGTTAAACTGAAATATATTTCATTGATGACATTTATGCCTCAATATGGCACCTATCTAAAATGTGCTACCTATCTTACGGGAGAGAGGGCTAATTTGTGATATTCAGCTTTTTATTTATACTTTTTCCTTTTTCTTGGACTAACTGGAGACTGTTCTTTTTCAAGAAAAAGTTTCTCTACTTTGAAGATTTATTTTGTGCTGGTTTTATTGTTTATTCACAACAAGATGTTATTACTTTTTCCTCACATTGGAGATGCCAATGCATTCATGAAACTTTAAGAGTAGAATAAAAAGCTTTGAGGGTTAAATATTAATCCCACATTATTTTAAGTGAATCAATGGTCTCCTTTTTATGCAGTAGTTGTGTTAAAAGAAGAACATTGGAGATGGAGTAAATTTCTCAAAATAATACCAAAATTGAGGGAAATAATATTAATATTACAGAAATTGAAGAAACTGTTTCTATTGATGTTCAATAGGTGAGGCATTGTCTGATAATTTCCAAGAGTTTTGAGTTTGAAAATATCATTATACTTACAATAAATACACAGATGGCCTATAGGGACCCAGGCTGTCTTATTTCTCATCCAATTCCCCTTCTAACACAACTGAGCGTGGCCTCTTGGGGGTACTTTACACCACAGAGCCCTCTCTCACTGCAGGACTATTCGTATGCTATTTTTTTCTTTTTTAAATTTTTTAAATTTTTTTAATCATTGTGTGGTAAATCCTTGCAAAGCTGATCATGATTAGGTTTCAGTCATACATAGTGTTCCAACACTCATCTCTGGTGTACATTTCCCAGCACCAGTGTTCCCGGTTTCCTTCTATCACCCCTATCCTACCTCCAGCCTGCCTCTCTGGATGGCATTTATTTACTGAATTCATTTCTTCTAAGACTTAAAATACTTTTAGAGAGATGTTTCAGTAATACTCCCTTGGAAACTTATACTTTCCCTCCCAGCACTTCGATTAGCTATTAGTGCTATATTAGTGCTATTATATTTAGCTATAGATTTTTATGATTGGTAAAAAATCAATTTTATTATTAAAAATAAATTTTATGATTGAAACTAATAGAGTATAAGCTCTATGAGAACAAGAACTATGTCTGTATTTACTATTTTTAAGCCAGCACGTTTTTAATATTTAAATATTTAATGTAAATGTCTCCATACATGATTCCAAAAATAACATAAGGCTTTACCCTATAACATAGGGGAGAAAGAAGAGAAATTAGTATTAAAACAATGAGTTTCAGTATGTAAAGACAAGGATGTAGATCCATTAGCAGACATGATGCTAGTCTTGCTCAATTGTTTCTTGTAACCAGGATTATAACAACTACATATGTGTTGGTGGTAACTCAAAGCATAGATTAGTGATATATCCTAGATGATGAACAATTCTTCATAAAGTTCAAAATAGTTCTGTTTAAAGAAAAGTACAGTATTCCCCCAGTTTACAAGGCTGCATTTTTAGAAGTCAGTATGTACTAAAATCAATCTGCTTCCCAAAACCTAGTCTAGGCTTCTGCCAGCATCCCCATCTGCTCACTGCAACATCATTCTTAAAACCTCCATGTTATTAGTGAATAAAGAACAACAGAATAATACAACTCAGCAGCTCCAAAAACAAAAAGTGAATTTCTCCATTTGTAACCACAGGGATGGAATTAAGATCGTTATACTTACTGAAAGAAGACAAGCACAAACACCTTACTTGCTGTATTCTCTCCAGCCCCAAGTCAGCAACTGTTCACTCTTATTTTCAGGTTGCATCACCCACGGACACAAGCAATTTTGACAGTTTCCCTGAGGATAATGATGAACCACCACCTGATGACAACTCAGGATGGGACATAGACTTTTAATGTATTTCTCTTACCTGCTTCTGCCTTGCTGAAGACAGCTTTTTCTGAGACACAGCTGCCAGCAAACCTGAAGGAAAGAGAGAAGATTAGTGCTCGGGGTCACCATGATGCCTTTGATCGATGCTGCTCCAGTAACTACAGTGGCATTAGAACTTATTGCTTTGATGACAATAGTGTTCTTTACATGTTTTCTGTTTGAACCTAAAAATAGCAGTTGACATGGTGGTCCTGAAGCAAAGCCTTTCACCAGTAAAGAGATGTTTTCTATTGTTGCAATGACCTTGCTTTGCTCTGATTATAATCTGAAAGACTATATGAAACACTTCAATCTAGTAAAAGTCTGTACCTTGCTAGAATTATCAAGAAGATTAGGAAATAATATATGAGGTACGATTGATTGCTATGGTACAAAACTTGGGCTTCTCCTTTTCTCTGAGTGTCATATGATCTAGAACTGAAAGCCAGTGTGAATGAGGACACAGAGGACCACACATCTGTTGGTCAGAGTTCATGTCAAACCAGTGCTAGAAGTTTCCTGACTTTATTTCCCAGCAGTGCTGATGACGAGACTGAATGTTACCTTTCCTTTCTGACAGACTTTACAAATTAGTATGATCAAAGCACAACTACTATGGATTCTGTCGAGAACGTCCATAGCAGGTTTATATGCGTTTTAGCAGAGGATTGACAAAACCAACACGCATGACATTTGTTTGGGGTTTTTTGTGTGTTTGTTCCCCCCCTCCCCCCACTGTTATTGTTGTTAAAGTGGCATGACAGAGTGAGGAAAAAAAGCAATTCGCAAATCATTTCATATTTTTTAAAAAAATTCTGTGCTTCAAAAGATGGTCTTGGAAATAAATGACTAGCAGCCAATTGATTTTTATTCATGACCTGACACCCCCTCAGATGAGGTTTAAAATGTTCACTTTTATAAAAACTGAACCCTTAGGGTAGGGGTGGGGAGGGAATAAGATCCATCCAAAAAAAATACTATAGGTGCTATGTATATTTTTCATCTGTAAATGTCAGTGTCAGAACAGACAATACAAATTCTAATCATTACATGTATAGCCAGACTCAAGCATTTTCACTAAATTTATTAAACCAAATTCCTGTCAGATTTAACTTATACAACATAGTCTAGGGTTGAGGGTGAGGGATGAGTAGAATCCTATTTGAACTAGTTTATTGTCTTAGGCCTGAACCAAAAGAAAATATTTAACAAAAAGAAAGCACAAAATCATTAAGATTCAGATAAGAAACCTAATTTATGTAAGGTCAAAAGGAAAGACATCAGACTAGGGGTTGATGGCTTCTGTTAAGAGCCTGTTAGAAGTAGGAGAGACACAGAAAAGAAAACCAGAAGTTGATTTCTTTAAATAAGTTTTAGATAAATAGAACAGAATTACTACAATTGTGAAAAAGACAACCTAGTAAATAGAAACTTGAAGGCATCGTATTTGGTTTTTGTGTGGAGTAAAGAACAGTTAACATTGAGTCCTTTAGGCCAGCTTATTATTAGCTAATTGTCAGTAGCAGAGACATTTAAAAGCTACTGTTGGATAAAGAGTATTATATGTAGGCAACACGTCACCTTCTGAGATGGCATACTGGTTTGGAAATATGTGTGTGTGTGTGTGTGTGTGTGAACTTGGTATGTTAAATAGAGGGTTTTTTTTTTTCAGGAGAATGTTTTAGAAAGTAAAACAAATATAGATAGATATCTCAAAAAAAGGAAAATGTCCACATAAGTCATTATAACTGTCCCAAATGGCATATGTTTTTTGTTTGAATTTTTCATTTTAAACCTTTATGAAAAGATAATCCATGAAAAGATAATCTAAGAAAGATTGGAGGATAAAAGTGCTACATTATATATAATTAGAATACATTTAAATAAAAATTGGACTCTTATTGCTATAATTCCTTAGTTTATCTACTTCTCAAGATACCTATTTTCTTTCACAAATTTAAGCAAATAGACCTAAAATCCTATTATGAATGTCAGTTCTCATAATTGGGCTTTAAAAGTATACATAATTTTAACATGATAGCAAATGCTCAGTGATTTCTGTTAGAAGAGCACATTTAGAAGAATGCTAAAGGTCTGCTAGAATTTTAAGCTTACCTAGACGTAGTCATTAAGAAAGTGTATTCCTGCAACTTTTCAACTATCCATTAACCCCGGGTATTAGTATTCACTACCGATACTGGATCAGTGGTTCAAGTCTAAGACAACCAATATGTACAAGTTCAATGGATAATGAAGAAATAACATTTTGCACCACGTAATGGTTGATTGTTTCTCCCACTTGTTACTGCATCTTTGTTCATTTCACCTGTGGCATTGCATTAGGAAGTTTAAAGTAATCACCAAAGAGTAAAGGTGAACTTTATCTTCCAAGGATTACAAAGAGCAAACCTTCATCTAACGTCAACATTGAATTTTAAGGATTTAAATATTGTCTTAATGAAAACACTAGGGCTAAAATTCATGGTCAGCTACATAAAATGCATCTCACTTTCTTTCTGATTTTCCATACCTGCTTTATTTTCTTACAAAAAAGAACAACTAGATGAGTTAGTATAGTGCCAACTTATTTGATTTGTTAATTGACTTTCTCGTTAATACTTCAAGTTTGGGAAATAAGGGCTTTCTGTGTGTCTTGATTCACAGAAAAACTGAAAACTGCCAAGGAAAGGAACATCATACTTTTCTAGATAGATTGAATGTTAGTGGAATAATTTCTAAAAAAAAATGTATAAATGGTTTTTTGTTTTACCTGCTTTATTAATATATGAATCAGATCCATGTGACATTTAGTACAAATTTTATTATATTCTTTAGAAGTATTTGTTTATGATCATGGAATATGCATGTGAATCACACATGTATACTAATATATAGACTCAACTATTGGATTTTTCTTATTTTTAAATGTTTGAATTGGTAGTGTACCTTAAGAAGTTTACTATCATTTTGAAAAAGAAGGATATTTGAACTGATTTCATACAGTAGAGGTGATCTGTGCATTATCCATAACAATGTTTCTTTCATAGTAGGACCACAGACAAATATTTATGTAAATAGATATTTTTGTGTGATATTTTGTGGTACATAGACATTTTTTAGCGTTTCACAGCATTATTATTTCATTTTATTTGTATTGAAATGTTTTTAGGTCCAAGTAGACTTGAATTAATGTCATAAATGTCAGTATTATGGAAAATTATGTCTACTGTACTGTTATTCATCTGTCCCTTAGTTTAGAAAATGACCTGGCTATCTGGCATTGTTGCAAGTGCCTTAAATTCATGGCATCCTATTAAAAAAAATTTGGTGTTATGCTGCATGACAAAGACAAACACACCTCAAAATGTTGTCCTTTCTTAGCTTGCTGCGTTTTACAGTTCTTTCTGCTAACAATTTATAAGCCTTTATTATATAATATTGATGAATTACAGAAATGATGAAGTTGTTCTCTTATTTCTGTTAAATGTACCAGAGCTGTGTATCTGTTAATGAGATACAGCGTCATTTCTGTGAAATGTATAAATGTATGTGCAGGTCAAATTAACATATGACATACTATCAAGTCTGTACACAGGCATTCCTGTTTTGTTAAACTGTGCAGAGTCTGTTAAAAAAAATAGCGCAGTCAAGTTCTAACATCTCAACTTTATCAACTTCATTTTCCACCATCCAATTCAAAAGAAAAAAATTTGAAAATGACTGCTTCACCACACCTCGTAGTGAAACCAATGATGAAAAAGTACTTTGGTGCACCACCCAACAAAACAGGATGCTTTCTCTCCATTCTTGTACAAGCAAATCATTGATGAGACAAGTCATCAACAGACCTAGAAAGCTTAACATTGGAAGTGTATTGTTAGTCCTCCTCTCTATTTGCCCCGAATCAACAGTGCTCTGGGACCTTCACTCAGAGATTTGGGCTTTATGAGTAAAGGAAAATTTCTTTACGCATCATCTATCAAGTTTATTTCCATGTATTACGTTTTTACAACTGCTCATTTATTTTGTATTCTTAGGGTTATGGTTATTTGGTTGTCTTCTTCCAATCTGTTCTACATGAAAGAGTCCTTTATTAGTCAGAATGCAACAACTGTCATCAAAATGGTCATTGGCCACTTGCACTCTTTTGATGTAGATTCAAAACTTTTTCATAAACTTAACCTGCTTTAATTTGCTCTGTATTTTTCCTGCAGCTGTAATTGCCGAGTGCCTGTTGTATACTTTATAGAGTTGAAATAAAAAAATAATTACTTTTGAACTAAGTTGATGTCTGATTCCAAGTTGATGAAATAAAAATAAAACTATTTTAGAATATTACTAGCAACATAAAATAGCAGTATCCAACTACCTTCAAAAAGTCATATACTTTGATTTAATGTTAATGTCATTTTTTAAATGATTAAAAAATTTAATAGGACCAACATTAGGCCATCCAGCAGAAATAGCAAAGCAAACAGAGGAACCCATGCAAACTCCCAAATTAACTGTTTTATATGAACTACTACCACCACCATTTCGTGCCCTCCATTTTTGAGATATACGTCTAGCCCAATTCTGAAATAGGCAGACCATTAAAGGAAAACGTTTCATGTATTACTAAGAATATCAAAAGCAACTTCACAAATCTTTGTGTAATCTCTGATCTTGCTGCTAAGCCGTGTATGTGTAAAGAATATGTATTGAGAGAACAATGTGTTTCTAACAAGCTCAATTTTCTAAACCTTAGTCAACATATTTTGTCTCATTCGTCGCTTTGCCCCTCACTGCAGTAGATGTTGCACAAATCAAAATGGGCTGAAACATGGGGGTAAAATCCCAGATAATAATAGTGGGTCTGGTGTCAAAATATTGGATGTGATCAAAGTAGAGAGAGAGTCATGTGGAAATCATCTGCCCCACAGGTGGAGGGAGGGTGTGGGAGAGGGGTATACTGGGGTTGTTGGGGGTGGAGAATGGGCACTGGTGAAGGTATGGGTGTTTCATTGTATGACCGAGATTTAGACCCAAAAGCTTTGTAACTGCTCTCACAGTGATTCAATAAATAAAATTATAAAAAATAAAAAAAGTAAGGTGGAGTTCATGCCCAGTTCAATCAGCTAATCAGTGGCTGAATAAATAGCACTACTCCTACATTAAAAAAAAAAAATGGCTGAAACAAAGTTTCCCTCAGTCTAATCATCTTTGTCATATTAACATCATATTGCCAGGACTGACAAATTAAAATCCTTTTTTTAAATAATGTGGAAATTCAGTTTAGTAACCATCTCAGACTGAATCAGATAGAAAAGCTTTTAAAAGATAATTTTAGGAGCGATAGCACAGCAGGTAGGGTGTTTGCCTTGCATGCGGCAGACCCAAGAGTATCTCGCCCGCATGGCAGAGCCTGGCAAGCTACCCATGGTGTATCCAATATGCCAAAAACAGTAACAACAAGTCTCACAATGGAGATGTTACTGGTGTCTGCTCGAGTAAACTGATGAACAACAGGAGGAAAGTGCTACAGTGCTACACCTAATAAGTTTATTTCTCTTGTGCATCATTGCAATGATACTTGAACACTCAACTGAAGAATGCTGGGTTTTTGATCATTGACGATTATCAGTTAATCTAGGGGGCATCCCAAGCAGTCCTCAGAGGTTGTGGGTTCACTCTGAGAAGTATTCACACTGAGAAGTATTCGGCTAAGGCCCAAAGAT